GGAAAAGGGATGGTTCTGTGAACTTTATTAAGGGGATAAAAGAGAATTTAACATTCCAGATCACAAATAATTCATCCTAAATGTTTGAGACAAAAAGATACCCACCAGTAAGACAGAGAATGCAGTCTAAACCAGAGGTTAGTCACAAAGTCTATGTCAGAATAGCCTGGGATCTAGACCTTACTCTGTCACTCAAGGTTATGTAATCTTGGATTCATTCTGTGTTCTCTATAGGTCTCATCTATCTCATAGGTAAACTGAGGATAATCGTGTTCCTGCATCGTAGAATTTCTGTACAGCCAGGTGACAGGCCCGTAAGTCTCACATGCTGATGTCAGACCACAGTAGGCGTTGCAGGAGACCACACCTACCTGGTCCTCACTGTGTAACAGGAGCTATATCAGATGCTTTATCTGCTCAGTTCACTTCATTTACAACTTGTAATCATTTGAAACATTCTGTTATCCTCAATTTACAGATGAGGAAAATGAGGCTTGATACAGTTAAGTAAAAAAGGAAACTTGCTCCAAATACACCTCTGTCACCAAGAAGTTCACAGTCTATTGCGGAAGGATGACTTTCAAACCAAGAAGTTCTTCAATGTGAATGTGTGATCAATGAGAAAACAGAGGCTGTAGAAGAAAGGGGTTTTCTGGAAAAGTCAGAGACACAGAGAAAAATACCATGTGATATGGTTATGTTGTCCATGTACAACATGGACAAAGGGGTAATTTCAGCCTTCAAGTTGACAAAATCCAGGCAAAGGCCTAGCCCTACACTGATCTCTTCAACGTCCTGTTTCACAGCTGCATGCTTTACCGCCAGCCAGGGACTGGTAGATGCATCTTACTGTCCTAAAAGGAGGTGTGGGTGTGGGTAAGATCAAGACAAACACTCCCCATATTGTCTGTGAACTAGCTAAGTCTCAGAAAGTAAAAACTATAATCTTGGACATCTACTCACTCTTTAGTGCTTACATGTCCCCTTCATATATTGTTTTGCTGAGTTGCTACACATACCACCATCACTGCTTGCTGTGACTTGGATGTGATGGTTTGTATGAGTTGTTTACTTGACAGAATTTGGAATGACCTAGGAGACAAGCCTCTAGGCATGTCTCTGATGTCATTCCTAGACTGGGTTACCTGAGATGGGACGAGCCACCTTAAATGTGGCCAGCACCATTCTGTGAGCTGAATTCTCAGACTCAGTATTTGGGTCTTTAATTTTTGCTTATTTTTATTTTATGTGTATGAGTGTTTTATCTTAATATATGTTCACTATGTGTGTGTAATGCCCAAAGAGGCCAGAAGAGGGTGTTTCCCTGGAACTGGAGTTAAAAATGTGGGTGCTGGGAACTGAACTGGGTGCTCTTCAAGAGCAGCCACCACTTAACCACTTGAGCCATTTCTCCAGCCCTCCAAAGACTAACTAAAAAGGACATAGTGAGCTAAGCACCAGCATTCATCAACTCCTCCTTTCTGACTATGGATGTGCTATGACCAGCTACCTCAAGCGGCAGCTATCGGGACTTCCCCAGATGATGGACTTCACCCTTGAAGTGTGAGCCTAAATAAACCCTTCTTTCCTTATGTTGTTTTTCTCAGGTTTTTCATCACAGCAATAAAAATGCAGTCTCCAGCATTCATGTGTTGGAAGTATGATTGCCAAAGGAGGTTGAGCGGCAGCCACAGAAGCTTGAGGAGGTTGGGCCAGTGGGAGATCCTTGGGACGTTGGGACACTGTCCTGGGAAAGGATTACTGCCATTTTAATAGGACCTGATTATTTCCTAAGAAAGGGTTGTTTGGCAGATGTGGTTTAATCCTAGAACTCAGGAGGCAGAGGCAGGCAGATCTCTGTGAGATCAGGGCCAGCCTGGTCTACATAGTGAGTTCCAGGTCAGCTGGGGCTACAGGGAGACCATCCTTAAAGAGAAAGGGTTGTTATAAAAGCCTGAGCTTGGTCCCGTTCTGTTTGGCTTCCTGTTTGTATGTGATCTCTTTTTCACACATGAACTCTTGCCAATGATAAGACACACCCAAGGTAGCCCTCACCAGAGCTGAGCTATGTCAGTGCCATGTTCTTCAACCTCTAAAATTGTGAGTAAGCTAAGTAAACCCCGTTGATTTAGAGAGCAGCCTGCCTCACATATTTTATTATATTATCATGAAATGAACTAAAACATTGTTTAAGAAAAATGAAACAGAGCTGGAGGTGTAGCTCAGTGGTAAAACACTTGCCTCCCACACATGACATGCTTCATTTAATCCCTGGAACTGCCAAAAAAAACCTGAAACTGAGATTTAGGAAGACATGTGAGATGAGCAGCAGGATTTGGGGCCCTAAACTGAACATTTTTCTGACAGCTATAGTATACCATCTGCTTCTTAGAGGTCTTCTGCATATTCCTTACAGGGTCAAAAGCCTGGGGGAGGGATCAAGACAGGGTCTCATTATGCAGTCCTGGCTGACCTGGAACCCACTATGTAGACTAGGCTGTTAATCCCTGGAACTGCCAAAAAAAAAAACTGAAACTGAGATTTAGGAAGACATGTGAGATGAGCAGCAGGATTTGGGGCCCTAAACTGAACATTTTTCTGACAGCTATAGTATACCATCTGCTTCTTAGAGGTCTTCTGCATATTCCTTACAGGGTCAAAAGCCTGGGGGAGGGGTCAAGACAGGGTCTCATTATGCAGTCCTGGCTGATCTGGAACTCACTATGTAGACTAGGCTGGCCTTGAATTCACAGAGATCTACCTGTCTCCCAAGTACTGAGAATAAAGGCGTGCACTACCACAACCAGCCCAGCAGTCCTTTTCTTTACATAACATTATTTCCATTTATTGAACTCCTTTCTCTCCAGTGTTCTGTGTGAATTCACTGCCTCATAAAATCCTCATAATGGTTCCCTGAGGGCCATAGAAGAGGTAAGAAAAATCCAAAGAAGTTCAGATTTTATCCAAGGTCACACAGCTTATGGGCCCTGGTGAGTATGATTCTGGGGTCCCAGCTGGTAACCGCTAAGCTATCCTGCCATTGCTCCTTTGCTTCTTGCAGCCCTAATGCATGGTACCTTGAGGACAACCAAGTCATGGCATCCGTCATGCAGAGTGGTTCCATCTTCTTTCATCAGTTTCACATAGGACATGGCAAAGTTCTTCTCTCCTTTATCTTTAGCTGGAAACAACATTGCAAGGTCAGAAGAAAAAAATGAAACACTACGGGCTACCTAGCTGTCTGGCTCCGCTTCCCTTACAGGACTTCAGGCCTGCTATCGGGTCACATACTCACATTCCAGTGATGATCGGTGTCGAAACATGAATCTCAGATGAATCCTCTGCATATCTTCAATAGGGACCGCCACCTCAGCAGGCAGAAATGAGAGCTCAGGAGACAATGAGTTGAACAACCCCCCTGCCCCAAAGTGGACTGACCACTTAACTTGGAACACTGCATGCTCATTTACTACCCATCCATCAAGGCTGATGAACTGTAAATAAACTACATAAGAACTAGCTATGAAGAGAAAATAAAGTATCAAATGTAATCCATTTGGCAAATTGCATTCCCAGCCAATGAAAAGAGGTCTGTAAATTACAGTGAGGAAGAATGAATCTCCCCAAATTGATATAAAAGTCATATAACTTTAGCACAGGATTTGATACACTGCAAACTGCACAATGCACATTTCTCCTGCACACTCCAGGAGTCCTGGCAATTGCAGCAGGGCTTAGCCAATTAACAGTGGCCATTAGGGGCTTTGCTTGATGACTCTCATTTATGCAAATTAATAAAAGTGCTTTACTCCAATTTTTTTAAAGTCCTAGGGCTCATTCCCTCTTTGGGTGACACACGCTGTCAAGTCACTACATGAGGACAATCACCCACAGGTCACCTCGCATCACCTCCCAGTGGGTGGTCTGCTGGCATCTTTAACTAATATGCTTTCGGCCTGGCTCTTGAGCACTCCAGATCCTAAACTCACAGCTCTCCTGCATTAGGTAATCAGGCCAATGCAGACAAGTTAGACTACCATAAGAACCACACTTGGCTTTTCAAAGGGAGGTAGCTTGCACTGTATAGATGATTATTAAAAAGGTCAACAGAGGTATGTATTGCAACAGGTTCTGTTTCAGAAAATAAGATTGGAAACAGAGACAGTCCACCATTCTGTGTTTCAGACTGAACAAAAGAGTTCTCATCTGTCTTCTCACTGTATACTGAAGGCTGACAAGAAGCTGCAATCATGCAAGGCACTGGCCAAGCTGATGTAAGGTAGCATCCCTAGACACAAAGAGCTCACAGTCTATACTGGTGATAATAGCAGCTATGTGGTAATGACTAGAAAAAAACGAGATCTAAGTAGGGTGCAAGAGAGCACACAGAACAGAAACCCACTCAGTCAATTAACTTTCCCACCCCAAAGATGGGCAGGTCATTCTTTTTACAGAAGGTGAATAAAAGGACACCTACTGCTGAAAATAGGAATGTATGTGACAGGGCGAGGACCATAGGATGTGGATGGCCATCATCAAAAAAGAAGTCAAGTGCCATCTTGAGTCTGGAGTCAGATCATGGGTTAAGAAAGAATACTAATATCTAACATGTTTGAAGCTGTGATCATGCATCAGTGTTCAATGAGCTGTTTCAAAGGTCTTGTTCCACTTCAGGATATTCTTTCTGCTTACTATAATGACCTGACAGTTTGTGGATAAGTCTACTACTACCTTAAGCACCATTCACAAAAGGCGTCTTTTAAGCATTGCCTGCCCTTTTGTGGACTCACAGCTGCTTGAAAGCTCTGTTACTCCTCCCTTCTGTGTAGACTGGCACAGCTTGATGAGTTTGGCATCACCCATAAGAAGACTATGGGACAATTCCACTTTGGCTAAGTCTTAGGCCAGTAACAGTGATCAAGAGAACTGGTTGCTGGCTCATTGGGCTGCCATTTCTACTGCCTGACATGTTACTGGACACAAACTAAGCTATTGTTTCAGATCCTGTAGAAGTAGCTCAGAGGATCCCATGCCCACACAGATGAAGACTTCGCTAACCAAGAGCTAAAGATGGTTCCATCATTCTGCAGCTCTTCAGAAGTACGGTCAGCAGGTCCCAGAATCAAGTTGGGTGTTCCATGAAGAAAAACGTGATATATTTTACATGTTGTTCAAAAGCTTATGCCTGCCTAGATTAGAACAAGGAACTGCTACAGTATGTTCAAAATAACGCTATCCCTGGGCTTTGATCCTAGCGACAAAAAGAACAGCTTGGAGGCTGATGGGGTTTGAGGAATTTGCTGCTCTATTCCCAGTGAAGCTCTGCAGAACACTTTCACATCAGAAAGGTTCTGAGAACCTAAAATAAAGAACCTGCCTTTTGATGCCTATATTTGTGCTCAAATTTCTCAGTATACCTCATATTTATTTAACCAAGGGATGCTGTTTTTAGTGAAACCACCTAGTAGCTCTATAACATTGGCGAACAGGGAGAGCTCTATTAGAAGGATTTTGAGGGACATTACACGTTTGAAATCACTACATCCTCCTCTTTCTTCTCCCACCCCACTGCAGATATTCCGGTTAGTTTTTATTGTCAATTTGACACAACCAAGAGTTACCTGGGAGGAAGGACCCTCAACTGAAAAAATTTCTCCAATCAGATTGGTCTGTGGCCATGTCAGTGAAAGATTGTCTTAATTGATGATTAATGTGGGGGGGCCCAGCCCACTATGGGTGGCACCATTCCTAGGCAGGCAGCCCTGGGCCATAGAAGAAAGCCAGTTAAGCATGAGCCATTAAGCAGTGCTCCTCCATGCTCTCTACTCCAGGTTCTACCCTGCCTTCCCTCAATGATGGATTGATAAAATAAACTCTTTCCTCTCTAAGTTACTTTTGGTCAGTGTTTTAGACAGAAACAGAAATCAAACTGGGAGAATTTATCTGGCACAACAGTGTGTGGCACCATTAATTAATGTCCTTGTAGAGATGGGAATATTTGACACTTGAGGAAATGTCAAATCCAGTTAAGTTTACTAGACCAAGAAAACTGCTGTGTGTGATCTAAGGAGCCAAGAAGAAGCAGCACTGACTCAGTGCATAATCCCCGAAAGGTGGAGGGTGTTCTATGTTTTAAATCCTTCCTTCTTCACAGTTTGTTGTTCTCATTTTACAGAAGAAGAAACCAGACACAGAATGGTTGGTTGACTTGCCCAAAGTCAAACACCTGGTAAATGAACACTAGAGCTGTTCACTAAACCACCAGCACTCTGGAGGTCTTAAAAAGGAAGGGGACTGTCAACAGCTCCAGTGCACCTCCTGGCCCCTCTGCTAGCAGACAAGAGCACAAACCCAGAGCATGGTTGAGGTTCCAACCTCAGCTCAGACACACAGTGGCAGTGGGATTGTGAGAAAGCTGCTCACTTGCTCTGTGCCAGTTTCCTTATCTGAAAAATGAGGGAAATATAAAGCAAGCTTGCAGGGTGGTTGTAAGCAGTAAATGAATTACTTAAATAAAACATTTAAAACAGTGTCTGGTTTAATGCAAAACTAGACACACGTTTGCTGCTGTTTTTAATGTTACTATCGTTATTACCTTGACCGTCTCCATCCAGCGAGGTTGTTTGACTTGATAATACACAACAGAGCGATACTCGTTCATGGGCTTGTCCCCAGCTCCCACACAAACCGCATTCTGACCAAGAGAAATGAAGAGAGAGAAAACACTACAGCACTGCCGTTTTCTGTGCTTGGACAGTTTGGGCCCCAACGCTAAATAAAGCCAATCTGATGGTCAGAGGGCAGTCTTGCCTTCCCTAACTCTATCAGGTTCTATCCTGATGGCCCTTCTACACTGCAGATTAGACATGTGTATCCTCAGCCCAGAAGTGACAGCTGCTTAACTACAGAAATTCTATTACTTCCATTCTGGAAAGCACTGGAGCGCGCCAGGCGCTGACGTGGCTGCCTGATTGTAAATGGTAACCAGCCTTGGAGTTACTGCAGGCCGCCAGTCTTATTAATCCTATTTGTCTCCTGAATGTGAATGTGCACAGTTTGCAAGCAGCAACACCTTTGGTGGATCTCTGATGCTAAGGCACCACAGTGGGTAGGCACTTGCTGGGCAGTGGGAGACAGTACCATCTTCAGAGAAATATCTGAGTGCCTGCTGTAGAGAACAAGCCTAAGGTGAGAGACTGTGGGAGAATGATGCAGCTCAACACAGATGAAACACCCTCTGGTGCCATGGCCAGGCTAAGCTCTGGAGGAATGGACATGACTCAGGTCCTGAGACTGACCTGAGCATAGTGGGGAAGACGCTGGGAAGCGTTCGCCAATCATTATGACCGTGCGATACAATAGCAGACAGACAGAATACTGTGTAAGACGGAGGGATGCTTAACTTCAGCTGAGGATTTGGGGAAAGATTCCTTAGAGGCAACAGTTAAGTATCCTGAAGAAGATTCTGAGTTGGCTTTGAGTAGAAATATGGGAAGAACTTTCTAAGCAGAGAGAACACAGAACATTCGTATCTGCAAGGAGGCTGCCTGATCTTTGCCATAAAAATCTTCCTCAACTTTTCAGAAAGGAGCTAAGAAACCAGCTCCTAATTCTCATTCCCTCCTTTTCTCCCTTCCCCTCCTCTCTATTCATTAAATTGGTTTGGGCCTTAACACAAGATCCAAATCAGGATCACTCAGAAGGGCCCCAATGATATGTTTTTTTACAGCAGACTTTTCCACTTTTAAACTCAAATCTCTACATTTTTGGAATATGACAATTAGTTTTTTTGGGGGGGGGGGGGGGGCAAGGTCTGAAATTGCAAGCTGGGTGCCTGTGGGCAATTGGTGAGTGAGGGCAGGCCTCCCACCGGATTCCACTGGATGCTCCAATGGACCCTTTACCAGGCTGAGTCACCAGAGCCAGCCACAGAGTGATACTCTGTGACCCCTGGCAAACTAAGCTGCACTGTGGGAAGGAGGACCTTCCACGGTCACTGTCCCTCTCTGTTTCCCAAGGCACGGGCGAGGAATGGACTCAGCTTCAGTGTTGAATGATGCCACCTGCTGGCAAAATCTACCTCAAAACAGGACAACAAAAGCCATCAGAACATCCCTCCTATAAAACGAAGATGGTCACTGGTTGGAAACGAAGGCACGAAGCTTTGTTTAGTAGCAGGTGCAGCCTTTCAGAACTTCGGGAAGCAATGAACTAGAACATACTCCCTAAAGGTTTTCACCCTTTAGGGAGGGCTGTGTGTCCATCATCACACAGGAGGAGAGGAGCTAGTCCTCTCCTCACTCCACCCCACTCGATTCAAACCCATTAACCACCTCTGATAACCTGTCATTCCCTTTCCATTCTGGGTAAACTGAGGCTCTGAGTGGCAGAGCTGAAACAACGTTCCAGACCCTCTAGTTTTATCGAGAGCCCCTTCTTTAACAACGGGCATGCCATCAGCCTACAAAGATTTATACTGGTGATATTTATGGGTTCACAGTTTCCGCAGCTTCAGTGACTCCCATGAAGCTTATAAAATCTGGAATCACACATATTTCTCTGGTGAAAGTAAAACTGGATAGCACAAAACTAGAGGATGAAAATTTTTTTTCCTAAGGCTGTAGGAAAAAAAGTCATAGTACCATAACGAGAAAGGTGAAGGCTGTTCTCACCTTCTATACTTCAGAGACCAAAGTGAATGTGACGAACTATGTCAAGAGAGCATTCTAGAAGGGACTCAGGCAGCCCACCCCTGGCTGAGGAGCTATTACCAACTGGCAGCCGCTGGAGAAGGGAGCATCAGTTTTCTTCAGGGATGGAATCCCAGGTAGTTTGTCCGCGCTGAGGTGCATGGCCCTGCACCCACACACACCTGGTAACACCAACTGGACTCAGTGGTTTTTATTTAAAGCAGAGGACATGAATTTGGGAGAAAGATGTGGTGACGGGGATCTGGGAGAAGTTGAAGGGAGGGACTGTGGGTAGATGTAATCAAAAAACAGTGCATACACATATGAAATTTTCAAAGAATAAATTAATTTAAAACAAAAAGAGAGAGGGGCTGGAGAGATGGCTCAGCGGTTAAGAGCACTGACTGCTTTTGCAGAGGACCCAGGTTCAATTCCCAGCACCCACATGGCAGCTATGAACCGTCCTTAACTCCAGTTCCAGGGGAATCTGAAGCCCTCTTCTGACCTCCACAGCATTGCATGACATGGGTGCACTCACATACATGTAGGCAATACACTCATACACATAAAATAAAAATAACAAATAAAA